TTACATAGATAAGCGTTAGCAATATGTTAATTTTTTTGAAGGTAGAAATAAAGATTTTATTGTAAGTTTTGTGAAAGACAAATATAATTAAATAGTATATTAAACTGACATATTATTGATAAAAAAAAATTATCGAAAAGAAAATTATTTAATTGTGGCAATCAATAAAAAGGGTTTATCTCTCTGCGGTACTGCGTAAACACTGGCATGTGTACCGTGAAAAATCGTAAAAATAAGTTTTCATTCACGCTTGTATCGCTCCTTGATTGATGCCGAAGCAATAACGGTGACGAGTGAGATCAGCACAGGCGAAGCCGCGCGTGGCGTTGCGAATGGCGCAGCCTCTCTGATTAAATGCAACGCGTGTCTCCGATTAGACGGCCAGAGCGTGGTCTTTACATCATAATTATAGATTAAATTCCATAAGCATCGCGTCAACTCGCTCACGCGTTCGCGCTACGCATCGGATAGAAATGAATTAATCGCATCTTTCACCGAACGAATTATTTCTTCATGCCTGGAAGTCAGACGAGTTGTCACTTCCGCAAGTCGCAGGTTCTTTCTCCATTTTTTCGTTACACACATCCGCTTGTCATCGAATCGGCTGCGTGATTCATCCGCAACTGATACAACGCTCGGTTACACGAGTATACTTATAGATTACACGTCAACCGACGATTGTCCTTCAAATTATTACTCTTGGTGAATTCACGAGTCTTCTTTCCTTGGAAAGAAGGGTCTTCTGTTCGCCAGGTTTTCAACGAGTATGCAGATTTCGACGAGAAACCAGTATCGATCTCTGATTCCCATTTAGATCCTCGACATTTAACACTCAAAACTCTCGCATACATTTATCTCGTAATTTTCTCTTATCACACATGGAAAAAACGATTTTACTAAAAATTTAAGTATAGATACAGATCTGAAAATAATTTTGTTAATTTATCAAAATAATTATATAAGACACTTAAGCATAATGAGCAATGCTGCAAAAAGTTTTGACATTTTAAACCAATTTAAACGTCCTACATAATTATTTTGTTAATATAATAAAACTATTTTCAGAGCTGAACTTGCTAAATTTTTAGATAATTTAAGCTGTTTTTTTCCATACACTGACAGAAATGTTTTGTGTGACATATGATTTACGAAACTTTATAATTTTTTAATTAAAAAATTTTGTTGTTCTAATAAAAATTGAGTTATTTTAACTTACTTTTAATTTAGATTTCACTTATTTTTTAATTAAAACTTTCTTACTTTTTAATTGAAACTTTACTTACTTTTTAATTAAAACTTTCTTATTTTTTAATTTAAAAAGTTTTCACAAGTCACACACATGTCATACAAAACATTTCTCTCAACGAGCACATTACGTATATTTTATTCACTTATTCCCCGCATTTTCTGAAGAGACTGCAGTTGATTATTAAGTAAAATTTTTTAATATAAATACAATTTTTAAATCACAATGTAGAGCAAGACAGAGCTAAATTTTATCGAGGAGGACAAATTTCGAAATTTCTATCGACAATCTTTCGCCTATGCTAAGCAGATTGACGACGATGTTTGCATACATTCATAAGGCGGAGGGCATTCTGTAATCCCTGGCAGCAGACTGATTATTAAGCGCGCCGTTAAACGCAATGACATAACACGATATCAATGCGTCAACATAGACAACCGGCGTACAGAACCGGCGTAAACTTTCTCGCATCATCTATCGCGAAGGATACTGGGTGCCGCAGAAAAAGTTACATATTAACACGCTCCTCCACATTCTTCAATCTTTCTAATAAAAGTCTCAATTTATAACTTCACAATAATTAATTCTAATCATTCTCTCTCTACTTCGCTTGTAAATAGAACGAAAATTTAACAAAATTTACAATATACGAGCACTTATTTTCGATGCATTTATTTTCACACAGTTTTCAAAATTTAATTTCACAAAAATTCGAGAAAATTAATTCTAATTTTTCTCTCTACTTTATTTCTAATTGTAAGTAACATCAAAAGTTTCTTTTAATCTAAACAAGAAGCATTTATTTCTGCCGCATTTATTTTCACGCAACTAGCAGGAATTTAATTTAACAAAAATTTGGGGAAATTAATTTTAATTTTTCTCTCTGCTTCTAAATACCGTCGAAAATTTCTTCTAATCTGCAATATACAAGTAGCATTTATTTTTAGTGCATTTATTTTTACACGGATTACAGGGATTTAATTTTACAAAAATTTAAGAAAAAATTAATTCTTTTTTTATATTTTGCTTCTAAATAGTGTCGGAAATTTCTTTTAATCCCACAAAACAGCTTCGGTGCATTTATCTCTACACGAATTGTAGGGATATATTTCGAGAGAATAACGATCGTCCCGAAGGAAAAGATTGAAGTGAGCACGTATCTACTTCTTTCGTATAGGTATTTCTGAATGCGTTCGAGCATTCCACCCCGCCGGATATTGGAAAAATAAACCGACGTATAAAGCCCCTGTTTTATATTCTGCTTTTGCTTATTTTTATAGATCGTACAAAAAGCGTACGGGGGAGAATATATCGGAATTAAAAGATTCTTTTGCAATTCGCTCTTTGCTGTTTTTTTTTACGGCAGCTTTTTTATGCACATTGACGAGAATTACATCTTTCTTTTGTGTACGTTCTCGACGTGGAATAAGCTCGAAACAAATAATAACCGTAGCGTCTGATTGACTCCGATCAACGCAACTATAGAATTTTTCATGTTTCCGATTTCCTTCTTGGACAAAAAAATGCTTTTAGTAATTTTATTCTCGAAAAATATTATATATAAAAATATTTGAAAAATCTTCCACACAATATGAAATATTTCAAAAATATTTCCAAAATATTTTGTTGTAAGATTTAAAATATTTCAGAAATTTTTCGTAAAATATTTTTGAAATATAAAAATTTGTCCAAAATATCAGTTTTAAAAATATTTTTTTTCTTACTATATTTGTAGAATATTTCTGAAATATTTTTGTTAAATGTTTTAATGCAATATTTTAAAATGTTTTACAAACGTTTACGAAATATTATATTTTTAAAATATTTTATTTCAAAAAACAATTCACGTTAATATTTTATTCTGTGTATATCATATATATGACATGTACTATAATATTTTCGTATACTTTCGCATGCGATATTTTTTATACAATCGTAAATCTTTTTTTTTTTATTAACGTGCATTGCACAAAAAGCAATTGAGATTTATAGACCGATGGAGCAATTATCGCCAGCGTAACGAGCGCTATTATTGGCTTGCAATAACATAACTGGGCTTTATTAAAGAAGTGCGTTTCTGCACGAGGGCTTTCGACCCACGCATTCATGGTCATCGCTCTCAAATAGAGAATCCGAAACATCGTGCCGGATCGGACAGCTATCGCTCGCAAGCTCGACCTCTTGCGTCAACGCTAAGACGTGTGCCAGCTGATTCATGCTACCTGCTTTTCTCGTTGAATAAGGAACGACGAGCGATAAATGTCACGTATGTGGCACGAGATATTGAACATTTTTCACCCCGTGTATTGCGCCTTGCGCGTAATTCCGTCTGTCATCATTTTTTCTGATTGAAGAATTTATCGCGAAGTTTCAGTTCAATATATCAATACGTCTCAGTTGAAACTCTATTGGAATTCAAACGTGGCATTATATACAATGATGATTTTTCAGGAATATATCATATTTGTGAATTTTGTAAATATAATCTTTATTTTACATAAATTTATTTATTTTTTTCTAATTCTCTCCGTGCAGTCACTTTCAAATAAAGTTGGCAAAAATCAAATTACGTTTATACTAAATCCAGTTTATTATTAGTAGTGTAAGGCTGTTTTCCTTTTCACACGTTTTAGGCTTTATATAAACGGCCCGTTGGCTTTTCTTTTGCTCGCACCTCTTTTTAACGTTTATAAAATAAATTTCACTTTCCTCTTTTTTTAAAGCGTGTTTATTGCACGGCGCGCCGCTGTTATTCGCGGCCCTACAAATTGTTAATACTAAAAATAGCGTGTACGTCATATCAAGTAAAAGGACAGGATGATGCGCTGTTGCCCCAAATTCCGCGGTATTATAGGTTGTTTGCGTTCACATACCTCGAAGAAGCACTCATTCTAGAATAGCTTGTAACTTACGCGATATACACGTCATATTTCATTGATTTAAATTTATCATTGTTATAGGTTTCCTCGCTCATCGTTCCGGCTTCGATATCAAAATAATACTAAATTTAATTGGTAATTAAATCTACTCTCTCTAAAAGACTTTTAGAGTAAATTGTCACTTTAAAATCTTACTCTTAAAGATTGAAAATTGGATCACTCTTTTTCAAGACCGGCTCAATTTTCACTCTTCAGAATAAGATTTTACTGCAAAGAATTTAGAGAGTATATAATCAAAATTTCATTAACATCATCGTGCTAAGATTCAACGTTACTGTGCACAATTTTAGAGAACGCGATTAACCTCAAGAGCGTATCCAAATCACGTGTCTGACACGCATCTCGTCTTGCAGACGATTTATCAATGCCTCTCTAACATCGTAAACTGATTTATTGGACGCGATTAATAGCCAGTCTCTAATAACCGTTCAATGGCGGCGCCTATGATAACGGTAAGTCGCAATAAGCGCGTCCGGTTAATTTACAGCAATGAAGTATATCGATTTTGCGAGTGTCAGTGCAATCTACGCGTTTATGATGATGGCACAGCGCTATTCTATATAGATATACGTTCTTAGCTCCACTAACTTACGTACTTGATCGATATATTAAAAACCGGAAAAATCATTTCTTTTACACGTCTACGTTGATATCGTGTGTGTATGTGTGAATGAAATAATAAAAAAGTAAAAGAACAATAATAATATAATGAAAAGACGTGAAATAAAACAAGATACATCATTTTTCTCTAATTAATGTGCACAATTTTTCTCTCTAATCAACGTGTATAATTTTTTTCTAATAATCTTTTCTCGGTACAAATAATATTTTAAAGTTTTATTAAAACTCGCGTTTATGTTAATACGGTTTAATACATAAATCATGCTCGACAATCAAATGCCAGTGCTGCATACGTTGTAAGTAAATATAGCGATGACAATCTGCATGCTCCGTCTTTGATTTCATTGTAAACGGATCTATGCCACGAGATCTATCCCGTATTCGTTTTAAGATCTCCGATAATTAATTAAATTCTGTGTTTATCGTATGCTCCAGTCGATCATATGCTCGACGCGATACCGAAATCTCACTAACACACAAAACAGATTGTTCTCGTCGTCGCAATCGTAACGACGGGATAATCGTTTAATTATTGTTATGGGACACTCGTTAGCACTTGCCAACTGATGACTATCGGCAAATTGCGGACACGCCTGGCACCGCACTTTGCTGCCGGTATCGCAATACCGATCTCTCCGAGAAGTGAATTACATGCGGGCGGCATCGGGGATTACGTCGTGATGTTGACGCATACGCGATTATGAAACTAACGTGTGTCGTGCACATTCTCTTCTGAAATCAACTCCCGTCCGTAGATTAACAGACGCTTTTGGCGAAACACAATGCGTTTGATGATACACTTTTCATCAGTCAGTTTTTATCAATTAATTTTCATCTATCATAAAGTGAACTGTGAGATGTGTGTAGCCAGGATTCTCTGTTTAGGAAAGAAGATCAAATTAGAGTTGTGAATTTAATTTTTTTAGGAGAAAAGAGTCGAGTAGACTTGTTTTGTTTAATATTATTATTTTTTAATTAATTATTGGCGAGTAAATACAAAATAATACATATTTAATTTACTAATTTACTGTATTTTTCTCTTAAATTTGTAAACTAATTCTTCGAACTAAAAAAGCTTATAACGCCGTTATTATAAGCCGTCTTGGATTCTCAAAAAATCTTTTTATAATTTTCATCATCAACTCTTTCTTCTTTTCTAAAATTAATTTCTTGTGAATTTCTTATTAAATCTAGTCTGTGTAAACAGTAAAATTTTAATTACTTTTGTTTTTTAAGATTTGAAAAGCCCCCCTTGCTCCATTTCCTTTGGCTACGTCTATAAATTTTAGTTCAATCGAGATAACTTTAGACAAAATTTAAAAAAATGCTTAGAGCACACACATAAAAAATCAAGACATTAATAGAATACAAAATTTAAAACATTTTTAAAACGTTTTTTAACGTCTTAAGTTCTAATTTTAGTATGTATACCTGGATATTATTTCAGCCAAAGTTCCTATTTTATGGTACTTTCAACAACGATTTTTTTAATATTTCGACACATCTCGCGAATACATAACGAGCAATCCCTCATTGTAAGACCTTGACGTCGTAATTAATCTTCAAAACTGCCAGGCCATGACATCCTTGATAAGCATCACGATAATATTAATATTATAATATTAATCGTATTATAATATTAGTATTTTACCTCACGAAGTCAGAGCCTGACCTACATCTTGTACGTTTGATAACCGACCTTTTCATTAACACGGGATTAGCGCGAGATTTATTCGCGCCGCGTTCGTGTTCGTAGTTCGTCCATCAAAAGATGTTTACTTTCCGTCGCGACGCGCGTCGAGGAAGATTATTAATACGGCTTGAAGTAGAACAGAATCGTCAGATGAAACTTTTTAGTCGCCGTTTTGTTTTGGTGATGCAACTGCACCATGAGAGCTTTAATTGCGCCCGTAAATTTTACCGCTGTCGACTCTGCATGCAGCGGAAGAATCAACAAAAGGCATAGATTAAAAATTAATACCGATTCAGCTTGGAAAAGCACGATTTTTCTAAAGGAAAAAAATTTTACACACATTCAATGGGAGCGAATCTTTGTGCTTAATAATATTTCTACACTGAGAGCTAAATTTTAATAAATATTTGTTTGAATAATGCCAGTTGAATATTTAATAAACATATATTTATTTGGTACAAAAACCATTAATTTGATTTAACTGTTATATTATTTATTTAGCAAATATTTACTAAATAAATGTTTTATACTAAAACTATTCAATAATTATTTATTGAAATTTATAATACATTTTTCTGTTTTTAAATTTTCAGGTACATTTCCGAATTCTATATATATGAACTACGCGCCGATTCAATTTATCGGACTTGAAATACAATACATAAGCTAAAGCTAAAAATAATATTACAATTTACATTAATTGTCAATCTAATAATGATGCTAATAAGAATTTAAAAAAACTTTTACGGTATTTTAAAATAATTATTAATCATTAGATTGACCATCAATGTGATTTGTGATATTTTCACTTTCCAGCTTTAATTTATTATCGCGCCCAATAAATTAAGTCTGATAAATTAAATTAATGTGCAATTTATATAACTAAAAATTCTATTTGTAAATTTACATAAAAGTATTATTAAGCATCAAATTTCGCTTTGTCCAAATATAGTATTCTTTTTATTATTCATTTCCATTTTCCAATCCATTTTCCAGTTATTCTTTCTAAAGAATAAATATAAAAGATATTTAATCATAAATACGTTTTCATCGATTATCACATATTTCAGGTGAAAAGAGTGAAATTATTGCAGAATGTATTTTATTAAAACTAAAATCAACCTGATTTATCTTTTAAGCTATCTATTTCTATCGAAATAAAATTCTTTCCACAAAATAAATGTTTTAATAATTTAGTTTATTGTTTGTGTTGTGTAGAAGAAATGTATATAAAAGTTTTGCGAAACACTCATTGCATGCACAAGTTGTACCAAGAAGGCGAAATGTAGCACAGATAGAATATTGATTTTCAAAACGTTCTAAAAATTTTCGTATATTTATCGCATGAGATGGAAATAAATCCGCTCACATTACACGTGTATGAGACGTCAAGAAATATTTGATATACGTTTGTGATACGCTCCATTTCATCAAGGTGACATTCCATCGAGTGCTCGTAGATAAGGGACAATGCTAGATCGTATCTCAAATTTTTATTTTGCAAAACCTAGAGGCATATTTTTTACCCGTCATCGCCGCAGTTTCTGAAGCAATCACAGAAAAAAATAGATTGGGTAGTTTAGCAAAGCTGTAGCTTGCTGAGCGGGTTCAACATCTATAACTAAGAGTTGATGGTTCAATAAAGGAATTATATTTGTAAGCAATTATCAGTATGCTAATTTAGCCTTAATTTAATTCTTTGTTACAATAAAAATTGTTAATGTGACACGTTTTCTTCCTTACTGTAGCAAAAGTACATGTCATAGCTAGCATGTTTTGTTAAAAATTTGGGATATTGGATTTCATAGAAAGTTACCTTTGCTGCATTAACAAATTTATTGTGTTTTACAATACCTAGAAATAATCATATTTTGCTAATTACATTTAGCTATACAACTTTGTTTCTTTAACATAAAAAACTGGTTCATATACAGTTGTAACTTTGTTAAATCAATGAAGTTTTTACAAATCTTTTTTTTCTCTAATTAAAAGTACCGCAAGAAAATATTGGTAAATGATATTTTAAAAATTGTATCTCCTTTGAAAGTTTTCATAACTGAAATTTAATGTCTTCTGTCAAAGAATTTGTCATTAAGATTAAGCCTAAGACTTTTTATAACATTTCGCAAATTATACGTGTAAAATTTTTCTCTGACATCTTCCCGCTGCAGTCATCGTTCATCGCAACCTTATAGTGTGGCTTACAGCTCCGCAAGCTGGTTACAATTTAACGCGTACTTATGGAAAAGTGAACACTATTAATATGCAAGTTGGAATATTACATATATACGAGCAATCGATGCAGAGCAACAAGACTGCGACTTGTTATTAGAGTGAAAAAGTTTGAGAGGGCAAACGGGTGTGAGTTTCGAAATATGTCACAACATATCGTCAGCATTGTAAGAAAAAAGTTCATATCTGTGATTATAATATATGGTAACATTACTCTGTAAATTCTTTGAAGTAGAATCTTAGTCTAAAGAGCCAGTCTTGAAAACGAGTAGCTCAATTTTTTCAATCTTTAAGAGAGAGATTTTACTCTTCAGAGTGAGATTCATTCTAAAAGTAGTTTCAGAGAGCACATTATGTATTGTAACATTATATATATTATCATTATTGTTAGTAATAATAATTATAAGTAGTTCTATCAACAAATATATATATATATATATAAAATAAGTACTGAAAATGTGATTATAAATCATAGTTAAATTATAATATTTACAATATTTTTATGGTAACATAACTATAAATTTAAACTATAAATTTAATTTCATTTTCGCCGACCTCTATATATTTATTGATAAAACTATAATTATTATTACTAATATTATAACAGTAATGATCATAATATTATGGTAACACCAACACTCACCTAGTAACCCCCACACTAACCTTACAATCACAAATGCCAAAATTCTTTCTAGTCTTTCAGTGTATAAATTTCTCGACACTCTTTCAACAAATAAAGTTTTAATTCTATTATTTTTTCTTCATTTTATTTTATTCTTTTTTTTCCTATTTTTTTCGTACTTATCGCACGAAACGCACACGCTCGCTCTTTTCGACTTAATCGCTGCGAGATACTGATTGCATAGAATTACAAGCTCGTCGCGATATAAATTGCTCTGCTAAGAATGCGACTTGATGAGGTTCTTCTTAGACTCATAGAGATAATACTAGCATCGAATGAACCGCTATAAAAAAAAGAGAGACGCAGTTGAGAAAAAAAAATCTTGATTTAGTCGATCTTATTGTAGCAAAAATCAATATAATGTAAAAGATAAACAAGAATCTATTCGATTTCTATTTATTGACCTCACGGTTCTGATTACGATAGATTGAAGTGTCGCCTTCTCTGGATTTGTACATTGATACAATTTACGGATTAGACCGATAACAACAGACAGATCGCTATTTAAGGCTGCTGCTATTCCGATCGTGCAGGTCGCGACATCGGGATATCAAACTTACGCGTTCACACTTGTCAAAGTTCGTCAGCGGATAATTCCCGTCATATGTACCCCGCATTTTTTTCTCGTCGCTGACTTCATCGTTAACATCAAACGATTCTAAGAACGACCAATTTTCTTTTTTTTTTTGCGTTAAACTGAAAGAATGCGGGAGTTATTTAATCGAACGAAACTATTTAATTATCCAAATGTGATTTTAAGATTTGTATTAGTACGGATTAAAATCCAATAATAGATTGGATTAAAATCCAATCGTTAGCATTAAAAAATTCTATTCCTCAAATTCTATTCAATAATTTAATAAAGATTTAATATTATCTATTCATTAAGTTCTGAAATTTGAATTTTTAAAGTAAATGTTATAATTGTTATAGTTTATTCCTGATATTTTTAGAAAACATGAATAATATAACAAGAACTTATACCAAGATATAAATTTTTTCACAGAAATTTATTATAAGCAGAATTTTATTTTATCAAGCAATTTTTTTATTCATTTATAACGAAATAAAATTTTATACTTTCCTATAGTAATCGTTTTGATTAAAATAGGTTAAACGCGTATATATACGCGATAAATCTTTTGTTTTTGTCACCAGAATGTTTGAGAAAAAAGATGGGAGAGAAGTAAAGCGTTTGTTCGCATTTCTTTCACAACGTATTGACAAATGGAATCAGCGACTGATAGCAATTCGATAAGATATTCAAATTCGGGTCTCTATTCATCAGTCGTGAGACAGATAACTGGTGACCGTGAATGAAAGTGAGAGACGAATGCAATTAGCATTACATCTTGAAACTCGGTTATCACCAATTTGTCTGATAAGAACAATTCATCGGTCACGTGTGTGTGCGTTGTAGTAAATTTAATTTCAGACAACGAGATTCAGAAATTGTGGTTTTAAATATTCAATCTTTCATGTTAAAAATCTTAAGAGAAAAATTATAATTATTTGTATTCAATTTTCACCATTATATTATCGTAATAATTTGCGACTTAATGATTTCAGTTTCTGCGTGAAACTCGTAAGATTTGCAGTTGACAAGCTATTTACACTTCGACAAATTTGAACGATCTCTCACTTGTCAGGATGGCAAGTTCACTCTCGGGGAAAATCGGTGAAAAAGAAAATCAATCGTGCCTTTTACAGCACCGTTCAACAATCTTACACCACTTACTCGAGAATGGCGAGATTCAGTTTGGTCCAAATCGAGGACTATCTTCTTCGGCGACTGTCGGTTCGCATGTGCCTTGTGCGGCCGAGAACGACTGCGGCGATTGTGACGAGTGGAGGCAGAAGAAGAAGAAAAGAAGAAAAAAATTAAAAAAGTAAATTATTATATTCAATGGGAAGGGCTCGGCTGACCAAAGATCGTGGGATCACCTCGCGATCGAAGAAGATCACGGGAAAGAGAGAAAGAGAACACAGCCGGTGCTGGCGGCTCGAAAGCGCGAGCCTAACTGACCCGCGGAGACGAGAGGTAAACGCAAGCTAAACTAAGTCTCGGTATCACAATTCGGTTCGAACCGCCACGCGAAAGAGCGGAGAGCAGCGGCACGGTCGAGTGTGTGAGCGACATGTGTGAGACACGATCGGCATGGTCTACCACCCACCGGATCTCCTTGC